ATAAACAAAACTGTCTTGGAAGAAGTACAGCCAGAATGCTCCTTAGAAGTGAGGATGGTAAGACTTCGCCACATGTACTCTGGATATGTTATCATGAGGGACCAGTCCCTGAAGAAGGACATCATGCTTGGTAGACAGTCAGTAAAAAAGAGAAAGACCCCCAATGAGATGGACTGACACAGTGGCTACAAAAATGGGCCAAACATAGCAACATTTGTGAGGATGGCACAGGACCTGGCAGTGTTTCATTCTGTTGTACATCAGGTCGCTATGAGTTTGAACCGACTGGATGGCACCTAACAACAACATAACAACATTTTCCACATGCTGTTGGCTTCCCCTCCCCGTTTTTCATAAGGTGCTGGATTTTTTGTTTGTTTATTTGAATCAGTTAAGAGTATTTTTCAGTTGCAAGCTTCAGGGTTAGTACCTTGGTTCTGGTAATGTAGACTGAGTCACCATTCCTTTGATAAAACACAAGTTCAGTAGGCATCAGGTTCCTAGGTCAAAGGCATTTGGGGAAGTCATTTCAGCAGGCATGAGGGACTTTTAGGAAAAGTGAATAGTATCAGCCATAGACATACAAGCTTTATGAAATGTTTGGAGTTATGACCAGTCTACTCTGAGTGAGTTGGGTAATGGTCTCTGATAAGGGCCTTTCCTCTTTCTTTAACATAAATTCATATATTCTGGGGTTTTTTGGTTTTGTTTTGTTTTTTGTGCTATACCTAGAAGTACTGGAGACACTATGAAGAGAGGTATAAAAGTTGTCAAGGCTTCTGTACTTTAGTTTGGTCCACAGCCCTCCTCTTACTTCTCCTTTTCCCTATTTTATTTGAAATTTACTACTTACTATATAAAAGCTTCCTTTCAAATACTTCTGATACTTGGAAACTTTAGGCTTACAAAAATAAGTAATTTCTAACTACCCACAATATGCTCTCACCAATATTACACCACACTGAAAAAAAAAATTATTGACGCTCATATTTTAGATACAGTTACAGCATATGGACAATTGCAGAATTTATCCACGGGGACACTAATCTGGAACCAAAAATATCACCTTTGCACATGTTTCACCAGTTTGCCAATGAAGCAAATGGAGATTGCAATTACTGTCAGATTGTCAGGCTGCAAGGAAGAATGAAATTCATCTCTATGCGATCACCTTGTGGCCCACAAATTTCAAGTAACTTGGCCAAAGTCATACACCTAGTTAGTGGCAGAGCCTAGACTCAGGAGAAAAACAAAACAAAACAAAACAAAAGCAATATAAAAACAAGCAAACAATGCAACAAAAACAGGCTTCTAATTCCCAATCCATATTAAAAATTTGCTTCATGTAAATAAGTCCAACTGTGTAATTCTATTGCACTGTCATAACAGGATTCTTTTTGAAGCTTGGGCTAACAAAGGTTCATGTTTACAACATACTATTGGGAGCAATATTACTTGTCTTAGAACTATAGCCAGACTAACTCTTAATAGTTATATTTCTAATATTGAGAATTTAAGGATCAAATCTTAAATCTGAATTTATAATGCATTCTCATTGTATAGACTGAAATTAATACCCTTTTTAGCCCCCTTCCAGACATAAGAATCCTAATCCTAGTCTCAGAGATGCCGTTTGCTCTATCCCTACCCACAAAACCTCCATGACGGTGATAGTCGTTTTTTGTTTTGTTGATAAGGAATTGCTTTAGACTTAGCTTTTCTCTACATTTCTAGCTCCTTTTCAAGACTGAGATTCAATTAACTGGTCAAGGTGAGGTGCTCCCTTTATTTCCATTCCACAATGGAGCCAAAGTAAAAAGTACACATCTGATTACATCACTCTCTACCTTTTAATTGCTTTAATCTCTCCATTGCCCTCAGGATAGAGTACAAACTTAATATATGTGAGCTGGCCCTTCCCCACCAGGCTCATTACTCACTATTTTTTATACTGCCCTCACCCCCCAGCCTCATCAGCAATCACTCTGAAATGCCCTATTCTCCACTCTTCCCAGCATTCCTCCTGCTTTAACTTGGCTAACACCTATCCATCTTTCAAGAAGCAAATTTTAACATCTTTGGTAAGTTTTTCCCGACTGTCCAAGACGGGGTCAGACATCCCTCCATTGTTCTTAGGCTCCTTATGCTTACCTTTAGCTTCACACTTATGTCTGCACACTATATTGTAATTGCCTACTAATTTGTCTCCTGCGCTGTTCTGTAAATTTCTTGAAGACAGGACTTTGTTTCTTATCAGAGAGATAATTTCACTGGACCATGTAAAAACAGGCAAGGGTGACTTTTATTCAAAAAACACTATTGTAAGGGAAGAGAAAGGACTAAAATGGGGGGAAGATGGAGCACTGTAATGGGGGAGTAGGATCCCTACAGCGGGGAGAGTGAGACACCAAAACTCAGTCTGAGCTGCAACTCCACTGAGACAAAGAACTGAGCTTTTTAAAGGAAAGTTAGGGGGACTAACAATTGGAATGAGTGAATGATTTGGGCCATTTTGTTCAGAATGTTTTCTTTTGATAAGACCAGGTGGATCCTGGGAGAGGGCGGTGGGTGGTTTGGATATAAAGGTTAAGATGTGGGAAAAAGGAAGGTTGAGGAGATAAGGAAGGGAAATACCCATTCTAAAATCATTTAAACAGAGCTGGTCAGTTGTTTCCATTTACACACACAAGAGTAAGGGATTTCTTTAACAAAGGGCTTGAAGAAAATCCAACCTTATCATGCTCTGCCTTTAGCACTTGAGTGTACCTGGATGTGATGCATTTTTTTAATAGATCAACGAATGTACCACAAAGTCTTACCCAAAGCTCCTGACTTCACTCTCTTTTTATTAACCCCCCATATAAGTTTCCTCCCCGGCATAGGGCTTTTTTTCCACTGGATCTCCTGAAGGGGATGGATATGAAAGAATGAAAGAGGTGGAAGCCAAGTGTAAGTAACGGAAAACTGAAGGCAGAGGCACAGACAGAGGGCACTACTTTGACTCTTTTAAGCTTCAATTTTTTAGAGTTTTAAATGTTTTCATGATGGCATGTGTTTTCAGTAATGGAATGCATTCTTACTAATTGTGTTCAGATTTTTGGTTGGTAATACGGATTTTGAAAATTTCATATGGGCATACATCTTCCTACAAAATGTTAGTGGTAGTCTGGCACAATGTTTAGTGGGCTCTGTCTGTCCTAAGGATCTTTGGAGGTGGCGCCTTCCATTTTGTTACTAGTTTTCTAAATATAACACACACATACACAAAAAACAAACCTACCCAGACTCCTTAACTATCACACAGGAAACCATATATACGCTTACAAGGAGTATCTAGTTTTGTACAGAAGCCAAAAGAGACAAAAGTTTGACCCAATCACACTGCCTGGATGCACTGCCTCATACCTAAGACTTCTACCTTAGTGAATGTTCACCAAAGAACATCTCTTTCGTTTTTCACCACTACACAAGCCCCCACTGGAGGCTTTTAGTGGGACAAGGAGCCTCCCAAGAAACCCGGGAACCCGAAAATATTTGTGACTGCATTCTGTCCCAAGAAACATAAAAGACTTAAAAAGGTAGGCTCTAGACAGAGATGTAAATTAACATGCAAATGACATTAACTTGCTGAAATGACAGCAAATCCTCCTCCTCTGGGCCAATTCTGAGGATTTATGGCTAAGGCTGTCATGCACATCCCTTGACTCCAAAGCTAATGCTGTGCTCCCAAATTCCTATCCAGCCCAGCCATGAGTCCAGACAACTCATTCACCTGGGGCAAGGCAAGCAGGAAACCAAGTCCCCAAGCTGCCCCTAGAAGCTTCCTTCCACCTGAGCAAGGTCCAAAGGGGTGGAGGACTGCTGCCTGGCGGTAAAGCCCAATAACCACAGGCACGAAAGCTGTGGCATACATGGCCATTAGTTTCAGGAACAGGGGTGTCCGACATGCCATGTCCCCGGCCAGCCACCGAACAGAGATATTCCAGGTGGCATCTAGGGGCATAATCACAAAAGTGACCAGTAAGTCTGAAGCTGCTAAATGGGCAAAATGTCGCCGGACTGGAGAGGGGCAGATCTGGCTGGGTTGCGGCCATGTCACTGACCACTGCACGGCCAGGTTCCCTCAGGCTGAAGAAACAAACAGCACAATGGTCACTCCCACTCGGACCTTGGTTGCGGCTGAGAAGGTGGGCAGCTCTAATCCCTCCACCTCCACTCTGGATCCTGCCCAGGCCTCCTCCCCTGCTGCTGACTCCCAAGGGATGCCACTGCCTGCAGACATGGTAGCCTGGAAGAGAAAGTGTAGGGATGAAATGTGGATGTGAAACAGTTAGCTTCCGTCACTGATTTTTTAACCTCCCTTTCAGGATCTGGAGCTGGTTATAGCGGATTTCACCGACTAAAGGCTCTGTCCCTGGAGATTCTCCATCTGTGTTCTGGAGGACGTCACCTGTCCAATCGTCAGGGTCCTGCAGGGAACCGGGATCTGGTCCTGATCTTGTTCCTTTCCCCTTGGACAGACTAGTCAGTGGGCTCAGAGCTTCTACTACCATAGACCTTGGTCCCAGAGTCCTGAGTCGCTGCGTTTGTGCCTGCGTTGGCGGTGGTCGGTAGAAGCATCTTCCCCGCGGAGGAGAGGGCAATTTCCGGCGGCCGCGGCGAGATCTCTGCAGTGCTCTCTCGCTCCGCCACCACAGCTGCAGGCTCCGCCCTTGGTCCAGAATGTTTGAAAAAGGATGCGCCGCCAGAGGCGTGCTATGGAAATAAGACCCTCTGATAAAGGGACGCTCCGACGGAGACACACGCATAAAAACACGCAGGTGTAGCCCTAGAGACAAAAGCCTCTCGTCCTGATGTACCACTTTAGGGACCGCCTCCACGCCCTTTCTTTTCTGACACTGTTTGTCCCTCGCGAGGCCCCGTCTGGGTCGTCCTGGAGGCGTGACTAGGAGTGGGTAGTAGGGCGGGAGCGGGGCGGGGGAGCCGGGGCTGTCGCTGTTATGGATGCCTGGGTCCGCTTCAGTGCTCAGAGCCAGGCCCGGGAGCGGCTGTGTAGGTGCGGCCCAAATAGGAGTGGGGGGAGGGCGGACAGAGGAAGACACTTTCGAGGCGAGGTCAGTTCAGACTACGGGGGGCAACTGGGGTCAACTTTGGCTACGGGGGCGCGAACGGACCTTGAGGTTCAGATTTGAGCTCGCCGCCGTGAGGAGATAATTTTGTGCTCACGGAAAAGATGGGGAAACTGAGGCACGAGTGGGCCAGTGGGGAGACCGCTGAGGGTTGCCGTGTACACACGGGACCAACACTTTCCTCACCGGGCGGTGGTGAAATGAGGGGCGTTCACCCCGCGGTGGACAGCAGCCCAGACTCTGTCCCCAGAGCTGTGGAGGCGTTCCCAATTTCCCTGTCCCCGTCCCCTGATGTCACCTGGGAACTCCTCTGCCTTTGCTCTGTCTTCTGGTGTCCATTCAGCTCGAGGGCCCTGAAATCTCTTATCTAGTATGAGAAATAAACTGCCTCTAACAACCGCCCCTCCCACCACCACCCTCAGCATATCACATACAGGCTCACAGTGATGTACCTGTGATGAGCCTTCTGCTGCCTTCACTTTCCCTTTCTGGTCTTATCATTGTCCAGTGTCTTATTTTGTCAACTGTAAACAGTGCTCCCCACCTCCTTTGATGTTGTTGTTAACTTTGGTGGAGTGAATTCTGGCTCATGGGGACCCCATTTGTACAGAGTAGAACTGCTCCATAGGGTTTTCAAGGCTGTGACCTTTAGACTCTCTTTTATCTTTATGTCTTTCCTTTCGCAGGCCCTCAGGAGAAAGGGTGAGATAATGGGCATGAAGAGGAGACAGGGGAATGGTCTTAAACTGGGAAAAGGGGAAGTCCATATCTGCCTGTTGGAGAATATCTTTTGAGAAGTATGTTAGGGGCATTTCCAGCTTCTCTTGCTTGTCCTCTCCTCCAGGGCTGCCCAGTATGCTTGCTCTCTTCTTGGCCATGCACTGCAGAGACATGGGGCCAGTCCTGAGTTACAGAAACAGATTCGACAATTGGAGGGTCATTTGAGCCTTGGAAGAAAGCGTAAGTAACTGTGCCTTTCCTTTTGTCACCTCAACACTTCTTCCATCCCCAGCTATTCTTAGTCCCTCCTTCTGTTTTTCACCTTTTATGCCAGTTTTTCTCCCTCACTTGGCTCTCCCTCATTATCCTCTACCTGTCTCCCAATCAAGATAAGACAGCGACGGAGGGAGGTGGTGGTGGTAAGGCAGTAACGGAGGATCAGAGGGAATAGGGCAAATTTGAGAAAACTAAACTGGGACAAAAATGAATTAAAATTTGATAAATTGTTTCTGCTCTTTTTGTTTGTTTTTGTTGTTTCTGTCATTTCCTCCACTTTCCCTCTTGTTTTCTTTCTTCATCTGCGTCTGACTGTCTGTCTGCCTCTACTTCCAAATCCTTGCTTTTCCTTGCTAATTCTCACAAGTTCTACGCCTGGGTAACTCAGCAAATGCCCTTGAGTCAGCCAAACGAGCTGTTCACCTCTCAGATGTCGTACTGAGATTCTGCATCACTGTTAGTCACCTCAATAGAGCCTTGTACTTCGCCTGTGACAATGTCCTGTGGGCTGGAAAGTCTGGATTGGCTCCCCATGTGGATCAGGAGAAGTGGGCCCAGCGTTCATTCAGGTTTGATATCCTTTCCAACAACAGAAATTTTTGTATTCTCCATACTGCATAGCTTGCTTTTTATGAAAGAAAGACCCTTCCACTGGGTCTTTCCAGAGTGTACAAGTCTATTCAATCACTTGGCTTCCTATATTCATTCAGATCTTAAACTATAAGAGAGTAATGAATGGGGGCAGATGGAAGACAGATGCTCTTCCATGATGAATGACTAACAGAAGATATTACATTGCTTTAATTCTACTATCTATACCACAGGTTCACCTCACTTCCTACTCATTCATTCATTCCAAGAAGTATTTATTAGGTGCTTACTACAGGCCATAGGATAAAGGGAAGAGCAAACAGATATTGTTCTTATTCTCATGAAGCTTACAGTCTAGTGGAGTAGTCAGATATTAAAACAACCACTCAGACATGTTTGTGGAAAGACTACAGGGTATTGCGAGAGAGTATAGCAAGGGTAGCTAATTTAGATTGAAAGGTGGGAAGAACTCTTTGAGTTCTTCTCAGTAGTCTAAGTAGGAATTAGACAAAGCAAAGTAGCAGAGAAGACCTTTCTAAACAGAACATAACACACTCTAAGGCCATAAATCTAGAAAAAACTTTCAGGAATTAGAAAAATAGAAAGAAAGCTAGTGTGGTGGGCAGTATTGAGTAAAGGGCATACACTGAAACTGGAGAGGTTGATAGAGGCCAGATCGTGCAGGGCCTTTTAGGCAATGATACGATTTTTTTATTTTGCTTAAATTTTATCCTGAGTACAATGGGAAGTTACTGAAACGTTCTGAGCAGAAACATGACATGATTCAAATTGTGTTTGAAGAAGATCTCTCTTGCTGTAATATGGAAAATGGATTACGGTAGGGAAAGAAATGCCTAATATGGGCAAAAGATGATGTTCGCTTGGACTAGGGATGTGGCTGTCAATGAAAGTGGGGAAAAATATATTTTGGGAGTAAAATTTTCTGTTTACACATCATCTGTGTTTGTTTGTTTGTCTCCTTATTTTTTATTCTTTTTGCATTTCCATTATATTAGCATCTTATTCCTTTCCCATCTCCCTGTCTACCTTGATTGTCTTCATATTTTCAGTGCTGTATAGCTATAACATGACTTACCATGTATGAGAGGTGGAGTTAGGGCTGGCTGGAGTGAGATGGAGAAACAACTTCCAAGAAGAGTCCATATGCCAGGTTTATTAATTTCATTCTGCAAATATTTATTGAGCTCTCGCTATGTGGCAGGCACTAGTCTAGACTCAGGGATACAGTGATAAAGACAAACATACTCCCTGCTTCCATGGAGCTTACATTCTAATGGGTGGATACAGACAGACATAAATAAGAAAAATATCAGATAATAGTAAGTGCTACGCAGTAAGGTAAAATAGGATCTTGTGGTAGAGAGTAAATGGCTGGCTACTCCAGACTGGGAGGTTAGGGAAAGCCTCTTCAGAGAGGTGGCATTTAAACTCAGACCTGAAGAACAAGAAAGAGCAAACCATATGAAGATTCTGGGGGGAGAGCCTTCCAGGTAGAGGGAGTGCAAAGGTCCTAAGGCAGAAGCAAGCTTGATGGGACCAAAACATAGAAAGAAATGAATGTGTTTGGTATATAACGATTGAGGGAAACAATGGTACAAAATGAAGTTAGAGAGGTAGGCAAGGGCCAAATGTTGTTGAGCTCTGTAAACCTGCCTATGGTGTCTAGATTTTATTCTAAATGTGATAGGAAGATATGAAAATTTTTAAGAAGAAAAATGATTATGTAATTTACATTTATGCCAACTACTGTATGAGATTAGATTGTTAGCAGGGGCAAGAGTGGCCACAGAGAGACCAGTTAAAAGGCTAAAGCAGTAATAGTCCAGGTGAGAAATGATGGTGGCTTAGACTGGTGGTAGGGTGAGATAGATGTGGTTGGGTTCAAGATGTGTTTTGGAGGTAGGACAATTCGTTGAGTGCAAATACTGTTGTCAGTACTCTGAGTGGATTTTGAAAAAAAAAATAGACTTTGTTCTTAAGGAGCTCTATAATGTCTCTTAAGTCACTGAAACAACTAAAGCTTGTTCTTTAAAAAGAAGTTTGCATTGTTACGTAGCACGTTTTGAATGTGTGTATGCTAAGAGGTTGCCAAGTGGAAAGTAAAAGTTGAGGTTGATCTTGGAAGATTTAATGATGCTTACTAATTTTAAGCCAGAATCTTAAGGTACACATAGGCATTAATTAATTGCAGGAAGGTGGAAGGACATTGCTATTGGTGGGTAACAGCATTCATTTCTGGTGTTCTCATGTGTAATCCCTTTCATCACTAAGGGGAAAGAGAACATTAAATTGGGGATGTTTAAGGTAAGTATACATGCTCTCACTGACCCTTGTGCCCTGTGTATCCCAGGTACTATCTTTTTTCCCTCATTATGAATTTGAGCCGGGATGCCTATGAGATTCGCCTGCTGATGGAACAAGAGCCTTCAGCTTGTAGCCGGCGGCTGAAGGGTTCCAGGGGAGGAATCCCAGAAGGAATGGAAACTGGGGGTCCTGGGGAACCAGGGACTCCAGGAGGAGGTCTGCCCCAACTGGCTCTGAAGCTTCGGCTGCAAATCCTGCTCCTAGCTCAGGTCCTTCGAGGTCATCCACCACTTCTGCTGGATGTGGTCAGAAATGCTTGTGATCTCTTTATTCCACTGGACAAACTAGGCCTTTGTCACTGTGGCCCTGGTATTGTAGGGCTTTGTGGCCTCGTGTCCTCCATCTTATCTATTCTCACCCTAATCTGTCCCTGGCTACGACTCAAGCCATGACATTCTGGTGCAGGATAAGGAGGGGACCTGAATTGGTGAGATGGCATCTTAGATCACCCCAATGTACCAACCTTTGTTCTAACTCTACTCCTTGGTTGAAGTTCGATCCAGAGATGAAGGGGTGGAGGGAGAAGCTTTAGAAATGATGAGGTGAGGAGAGGAAAGGTAACTCCTGCAGTCAGTAGGATGAGTCTAATGTCCAAATCTACCTGAGCTTTTGTTCTTTTCCTCCTTTATTGCATTGTGTGTGTCTCCCTTGATTCTTTTTACTTTGTCCCTCTTATGTTTTTAAGATTCTGTCTTTCACCTTCTCATTCCCCTGTCCTAAGAGTTCAATCAGCAGCAGCATTATCTTTTGGGGAAAAGAAGGGGTGATAGAAGGTTTGGTCTGTAAGATTCTAACTGCCTTCTTTCTCTCACAGAGGTGGCTTATGGTAGATTTTCCCCCCTTCAAACTCCAAATATAATTTTAAGACTTTATGTCCTAGCGGACTCTCCCCCAACCTCTGCTCCAAGGGTTGTTTGATACTTCCTCTTCCTCCCTCTTGTCTACCTCACCAAACTCCCTCATGACTTGCCCCTTATCCTTCCCTTGAATCACACCTACAGATTTCTGCTTCCACTTTTATTTCAAAGATTTGTTCCCCAGCTTATTCTTACCCTTTCTTTGCCTACTCAGAATGATGTTGTATGTAGCATCTTGCTGTAAATACTGTACAATGAATCTGTAAATAGCTGTGGCCCATGCCCAAGATGGGAGAGCAAGCCTTCCAGGCCAGCAAATTAAAGATCAGTTTGCCCATCAATGTTTGGTCTGGTCTTCTGTGTTCTGGTTATCTGAGGCCCCTATTCCTGTCACTGTGGTTTGGGTTTTCCATGGGATTGGCCACTAAGATCATCAGCCACAGATTTTTATTGAGAACCTACCATGTGCAGGACAAAATACTAGATGGTGGAGATACAAAATGCTAAGAAGCTCCATGATCCCATTTCAAGAATGTCATGGGTTGAATTATGTCCCCCAAAAAATGTGTGTATCAGTTTGGCTGGGCCATGATTCCCAGTATTGTGTAATTTTCCTATATGTTGTAAATCCTGCCTCTGTGATGTTAACAAGGGAGGATGGGCGGCAGTTATGTTAGTGAGGCAGGACACAATCTACAAGATTGGATTGTGTCTTCAGGCAACCTCTTGAGATATAAAAGAGAGAAGCGAGCAGAGAGACAGGGGGACCTCATACCACCAAGAAAGCAGTGCCAGGAGCAGAGCACATCCTTTGGACCCTGGGTTCCTGTGCGGAGAAGCTCCTAGTCTGAGGAGAGATTGATGAGAAGGCCGAGAGAGAGAGAAAGCCTTCCCCTGGAGCTGATGCCCTGAATTTGGACTTTTAGCCTACTTTACTGTGAGGAAATAAATTTCTCTTTGTTCAAGCTGTCCAGTTGTGGTATTTCTGTTATAGCAGCACTAGATGACTAAGACAAAGAACTTTACAGCCTAGTTGAGGAGATGGAGTCTAATGTTAAAGTAATGATCTGGTTCCACAAAACCCATGCCACACCAGTTTATAGTCCCTCCAAAAGCTATAGCGCTGCCAGGCAGCATCGACTAAGTGCCACAAGCGGAACTAAGTGGAATGGGGCTGGCAGAGCTTGGTTTGTGGCTGTAGTTTCACATGTTGGGACTCCTCTGGGTGGGCAAGGATGTGATATCACTGTTATCAGCTCTTCCTTTTTCATATCCCAGCTTGGAATAAATAAGGTTATGAAATAAAAAGACTCTTACCTCGTACCTTCTGTTCCAAACCTGAGGAAATCAATACTGAACTGGGAACAACAAAGAATTCAAAACAAAAAGTGAAGAGAAAGAAACAACAGAAGTGGTCAAGAAATGTGTTCTCTCAGTATTTTGAGATGAGGCCTCCAGAGGGCAGCACCAAGGCAGAGAAATAGACTGAAACCACTCACTCCTCCTTCCCTTGGTCTGGGGCTCCCTGTAGTTCCCCACCATCACTCCTCCCATTCCTTCCAACTTTATTTTTAGCTGCCAGTAGGAGGGGGCAGGATGGGAGGGAAAGTAAAGAAAACAGAAAAGGAGAGGGACAGAGGCACAGAAGACTTCTCATACGGACAGAAGAACATCCAGGCATGGAGCTCCCCCTCATCCCACACCTGTCCTTGCCCCTGATGTTCCTGACCGGTGAGGGAGCTTAACTTCTTGGTTTCTGATGGGAGTGGAAAATACATGGAATTGTTTGGCATTAGGACATTTAGGGTTGAAATTCTTTGGGAGTTAAGGTGGGAGGTTAGCACTGATTCTGCATTTCTGTAGACTGTATGCGTGCGTATACATGTACACGCTTGTGCTCTCTCATGCATGTATGTATGTGAGTGTTTGCCCTCTTATGTCCACACATATTACTACTTTGATATTGAGACTTGCAGGAGGCTGAAAATGCCCAGAGTCCTTCGTAAGATTTATATCCAGTTACCTAAAACCTTTGTCCTAAGCCCTGGAGGAGTGAAGAGTCAGAAAAGAAACATTTCCCATTACCTTCCACATGGCCAGTCACTCCTGTTATCCCTCTCCCTACTTCCCTTACCCTTGGTGGTCCCTGGGGTCTGAGGCATAACTAACTGGTGCAGTCAGAACTCTGGGTTTATCTAACCAATGAGCTATAGTCCTGGGCATACAGCCCAGTATCATGCAGAAAGGGTCATATACAAAACATCCTTCTGAAAATGGGCATGGCTTGGGATAGAGCTATAGCTATTGGTGGTGAGGTGGCCTGAAAGGGGGATTGCACAAATGGAAGGAGTAAAACAGTGGGGGAAAGAACCCTGGGAGGGACAAGAGGGCTGCATTTTTCCCTCACCAGTGCCCTGTAATCTTTTTCCTAAAATACCAGCTCTGAGTTTAAAAGGGTTAGGGCAGGGAGGGAAGAATCAGCCAGGACATGATGGGGCCTTTTAGAGGGACCACAGATTGAGGAAGCCATGGAGGTAGGCAGAGGGGCAGTTGGGAGGGTGGGTGAGTTAGAAAGGAAGAGGGTTGTAGGGAACTTTGGGGTGGTGGGACCCTTGGCAAGGATGGATGGCAAACCATGTGTGTGGGCAGGCGAGTGGCCCCACCCACTTAATTACCACTGAAGTGTCCAGGGCTTGGATCAACCAGAGATCTAAACATTGGAGAAAGAGAGAGTGTGACAATGGCACTGGAAGTCAAGAAGAGATGGGAAGAGGAGAGACTCAGACAGACGGTGGTCCCTAGCCCCCTCTTGTTCTCCCTGTGGCCCTGTTTTGGGAGAAATTGAAAGGAATGATTATGCTGGGGCTACAGAAAGGCCGTCTCCCTCTTTGGACCGTCACAGTTTCGGAAGGAGGATGTGTAGGAGGAATGATGGGGAAAAGAGTAAGTTGACCCTCCAGATGTGTCTGTGAATGAGATTTCCGGGCTGGAGTGGAAACACAGCTGTGCATCAGCATGGCAGAAGGCCACAGGTTAGACATCTGGGTTCAAACACAGGAAGTGGATCATCTGTGCTTGGGGCTCTGAGTACATAACATTGGCAGAATCCAGGAGACCTTATGAGTCAGAAGCAGGCAGATAGACTGAAATCAGGGCTCCTCACTGCTTCTCTCTGGGCTCTCATTGGCCTCTCATACTTCTTCATGCTAACCTTATAATCCTGGCCCCCCAGGTCTCTGCTCCCCCTTTAACCTGGATGTACATCACCCACGCCTATTTCCAGGGCCACCTGAGGCTGAATTTGGATACAGTGTCTTACAACATGTTGGGGGTGGACGTCGATGGTGAGGGGGAAACTGGAGACCCATGGGATTGGGACTGTGATGGTGCTGGTAAAGGGGAGGTGAGGTAGATGAGAATCTAAGCTCATCTGATCTTTTGGAGTTGGCTGGGGCTCTCAACGTGCCAGACCCATGTACTTTCCCTCTGGCCTGCCTCAAGGGTCATGCTCACACTATGCTTATATTCACTTCCTCCTCCCAGGATGCTGGTGGGCGCCCCCTGGGATGGGCCTTCAGGTGACCGGAGAGGGGATGTTTACCGCTGCCCTGTAGGGGGATCCCCCAATGCCTCATGTGCCAAGGGCCACTTGGGTAAGAAGATGCCTGACTCTTCTATTCCCAACCCCTGACTTCAAAACCCTGGTAGCTTTGACCCCTTATGCCTCAGCTTCTGCATCCCTATAGTCTACACCCCACCCCTCCTTATCTCTAACCCCTTCTCATCTTCTTCCATAATCATCCTGAACTTTAGCATCCCCATCTGTGACCACCTGATCTCATTCTGTCCCCACCCCCAACCAGGTGACTATCCACTGGGAAATTCATCTCATCCTGCTGTGAACATGCACCTGGGGATGTCTCTACTAGAGACCGATGGTGATGGGGGATTCATGGTGAGCTAAGGAAAGGGTGGTTGTGGGATCTAAAGGTTCATGGCAAACCAAAGAGCAGCTGTGGTAAGGGAAACTGTTCTATGGGGGCGGAGGGGGTCAAGGAATTAAAAACAAGGGAAGGAATCTCAGGGAGTGGTCTCCGTGCCTCCTTTAGTTGGGAGCATGCTCTGAGGATGCCCCCCCAAGCCTCAGAGTAACTCTTTCCCCACCCACCCCTAGGCCTGTGCTCCTCTTTGGTCTCGGGCTTGCGGATCCTCAGTCTTCAGTTCTGGGATATGTGCCCGTGTAGATGCTTTGTTCCGGCCCCAGGGGAGCCTGGCACCCACGGCCCAACGTGAGTCAGAGGAAGGGATGCAGGGTGGGAAAAAGATGAGCCTGGCAGAAGGCCTGCATGGCTATCCTCATTGCTACCTAATGTGCCTTGCAAAAGCTCCATGTTTCCTAACAATTCAGACTCCTTACTAGGCCATCAAGCCTCCATGACCTATCCAACCAACTTCAAAAACAACTCTCACTGCATCCCTCCACATACTCTGTGCTTTGGCCACCGCATTCACCTAACCATTCTCCCATTGTGTCATCTGTTTTCATACCTCTGTCTCCCTTTGTTTTTGAAATGTTCTCTATGCAAATGCCTTTCCTTATATTCTCCTCTCCTCAGACATCTCACCCTTCAATGGCTACTCAGTTGCTGCTTCCTTTGATTCCCCACCACCAGAACTGACCCTCTTTTGTTCTTTCACAGCACAGAGCAGTGCTGTGTTTCTATCTAGCACTTAATTTATCTGCTTTGTTTTTTAGTAAATTGTATATACACTGGCCTCCTCTTTCATTTATTTCTGCACATACCAAGAACCTGGCACCGTACCTTTTCGCATGTAAGAACTGCTCGATTAATGTTTGAATTGAATGTGATATTTTCCCTTTGCTATCCTCATGCCCAGTACCCTTCTGCTCTTCTTTTCCCCATCCCTGTACCCCTCCTCCTAGGCTGTCCCACATACATGGATGTTGTCATCGTCTTGGATGGCTCCAACAGCATCTACCCTTGGTCTGAGGTTCAGACTTTCCTACAAAGACTAGTCGGGAGACTGTTTATTGACCCGGAGCAGATACAGGTAAGAGAAGGCAGTATGGAGGGGCTTAGGAGGTGGAAGGGAGACAGGAGAGAGGAGATAAATGTAGGCAGTGTCTTCAGTAGTATCCAGTTGTTCAGCTCCCCTCTTTCACATACTTTCTCCCCCCTTCCACCATACATACACATATACCTTTGAGGAACTACTTTATTCTCAGGTGGGACTGGTACAGTATGGGGAGAGCACTGTACATGAGTGGTCCCTGGGAGATTTCCAAACCAAGGAAGAAGTGGTGAGAGCAGCAAGGAACCTGAGTCGGAGGGAGGGCCGAGAAACAAAGACTGCCCAAGCAATAATGGTGGCCTGGTAAGGCATCGTGAAGGGGAGTGTGGGAGGCCTGAGTGATGAGGCCTAGAAGTACTGGGGGAAGATTTACAGTGCAGTGTGTACATCCCAAGATGTTTTGCATGCTTACTTTTGTGTGCATAATAGTGGTGGGTGGCAGAAGGCTAAGTTGAACTGCCATTGCACTACCTATCATTGCATTTGCTATGAAGTGTCTATGTCTGTGTCTCTCCATGTCTCTGCCTTGTTTATCTCCCTAGACAGAACTTTCTCTTTCTATGCGTCCACTCCAACCTTGATGCTGACCCTCAAGCTTTCCACTGACTCGTGTCCTAGCCAACTTTCCAAACATGAGTCAAAACTCATCTCTGGGAATAAAGGAGAATGGTCAGGTCAGAGAAGTCTTGTCTGACCTGACCATTCTCCTTATCTATGTTCTCTTAATATTTGTTCTCCCAAATGCAGTATTTGTTTAGTGAATCATTGAACAAATGAATTTTATACTTATTTGCATTGATAATATGCTGTTCTGTGTATTTTATGACATTGGAGCATTTAAGCTCTTACTGTGTGTCAGTCTCCATGCTAGACGATGTCAGGAGGATGGACAAAAAGGCAAGGTGCCTGACCTCAGTGAACTGCTGATAGTATTCTTAAGTCCTGTGCGTGTCTGCATACGTCTCACCACACCTCCCTCCTTTCTCTGTCTTCTTAGCACAGAAGGATTCAGTCAGTCCCGTGGGGGCCGACCAGAGGCAGCCAGGCTACTGGTGGTTGTCACTGATGGAGAATCACATGATGGGGAGGAACTTCCTGTAGCTCTGAAAGCCTGTGAGGCTGGAAGGGTGACACGCTATGGGATTGCGGTGAGAATTGTCTTGGATCCAGGAGGATTTGGTGGGGTACAGGGAAGACATTGAGGAGTGGGAACTTGAGGAGAACAGGGGCATCGACAACTTCCCAGACTTCAGCCACGTATGTTGCCCTCTCTTCACTATAGCTGGCTATGTGCTGTACCAACTCTGACACTTCATGCTACCACTAACAGACCTCACCTTGGTCTCCTGACCCCAGGTCCTAGGTCACTACCTCCGGCGGCATCGAGATCCCAGCTCTTTCCTGCGGGAAATCCGAACTATCGCCAGTGATCCAGTTGAGCGGTTCTTCTTCAATGTCACGGATGAGGCTGCATTAACTGACATTGTGGATGCACTAGGAGACCGGATTTTTGGCCTTGAGGGTAATTACTATCCTGGAGAAATGGAAGAGACAGGGCAGGGGGAGTTCTGGAGTGAATTCAGTAGGTCAAAGGGAGAACTATTTTCCTTGATATTGCCTTGATATTTTCTCATGCCCAAGGGTCCCATGGAGAGAATGAAAGTTCCTTTGGGCTGGAAATGTCTCAGATTGGTTTCTCCACTCATCGGCTGAAGGTTGGGCAGGCTGTGACCCCTCCATGATCCTTCCCAACTTCTGACCCCTTTGTGACTCCTTCCAACCTCTGAACCAGACAACGTCAGCCCTAGGGCCCTTCCAGATTTCTCCTTTAACCACTTCCCTTGCCTTTCCAACTGACCCCAGCATACCCTCAGTGACCGTTTCACTCCTGGAGAATTTTTTCTCTTCATTCTCCACTGTCTTCTCAGTGACCCCGTCTGGTTCTGCCCCACAGGATGGGATTCTCTTTGGGATGGTGGGGGCCTATGACTGGGGGGGCTCAGTGCTATGGCTTGAAAAAGGTCACCACCTTTCCCTGCCACGAACGGCTCTGGAAGATGAATTCCCTCCTACATTGCAGAACCATGCAGCCTACCTAGGTGAGTAGCAAAGAGTTGCAGAGAATTGGTGGGGGGGAGGAGGCAGTGCTTCCTCAGTGCAGGGTATGAGGTACTCCCTCTTTACTCCTGCAATTCCTGCTTCTCACTGATTTGTGGCTTTCACTGGACCTCCTCCAGTGAAAGGGACTTTAGGGAGCCCTCCCACTCTGACTCCATCTTCTTTCCTTTTCATCCCTAATTCCTTGCCTACTTCTAGGTTACTCTGTTTCCTCCATGCTTTTGCAAGGTGGACACCGCCTATTTATCTCAGGGGCTCCTCGATTTAAACATCGAGGAAAGGTCATCGCTTTCCAGCTTAAGAAAGATGGGGCTGTGAAGGTCGCCCAGAGCATCCAGGGGGAGCAGGTAGGGCATCTAGGGAGGGTGGGACCCTTGGATCCCTGACGGACCTCCAGGAGGTGGGAGAAGAGAGTGAAGGGGCAACAGAGGGGCCTGAGAAGTCTGTGCTGAATCCTGGTTGGCAGAGCCTGTCAACAGTGTGAGGACCAGATTGAGAGGCTGGTGAGTGCTTCCCACCAGGCCCACAACCAGTTTCCCTTTTCTCTGGGCTCACCGTCACCCACCACTCCCCAGATTGGCTCATACTTTGGCAGTGAGCTCTGTCCATTGGATACAGATGGGGATGGAACAACTGATGTCTTGCTTGTTGCTGCCCCCATGTTCCTGGGACCCCTGAACAAGGAGACAGGACGTGTTTATGTGTATCTGGTGGGCCAGGTGAGACTTTCTAGGGCGCCCTAGGACTTGTGGGAGGGGAGAGGGAGAAAAGGCACAGATGTTTGAGGGCTGGCTGAGAGGGCTGTCAGATCAGCATCTTCTGTCTTCCTCTTACCTCCACCAGCAGCCCTTACTGATGCTCCAGGGAAGACTTCAGCCAGAACCCCCTCAGGATTCTCGGTTTGGCTTTGCTATGGGTGCCCTTCCTGACCTGAACCAAGATGGCTTTGCTGATGTGGCTGTGGGGGCACCCCTGGAGGATGGGCACCGGGGTGCACTGTACCTGTATCATGGGACCCAGAGTGGAGTCAGGTCCCATCCTGCACAGGTCAGGAGCACCCAAATGAGGGAGGGGCATGGTGGTAGGAAGGGGAGGGGAAGGGTGCTGTTTATCTATCAAAGTCCCCTTGGCTTGAGACCCAAACTGGGCAATGTTTTAATCAACAGGCAAAAAGGTAAGGAGGTGGGATAGGATACAGGTTGCTGAGCTAGAAACCCCTAAACACAGGCAAGTTTCTCTTATTTCCATGACTGATGAGCGGATTAGAGAGAGCCAGGTGGGAGGCCTGGGAAATCAGGTGTATGAGTCCCTGCCTCAGTCTCCCCTCTCTTCCTGTCAGCGGATTGCTGCTGTCTCCATGCCACAGGCCCTCAGCTACTTTGGCCGAAGTGTGGATGGCCGGCTAGATCTGGATGGAGATGATTTGGTAGATGTTGCTGTGGGTGCCCAGGGGGCAGCCATCCTGCTCAGGTGAGGGGTCCTAGCTCAGGTAGCAACAGACACCACAGAAGAGCTGTTAAAAGCAATGGCTTTGGCATCACATACTTAGATTTGGATTATTTTGTCAATTTAAGCCCTCTGTGCCTCCATTTCCTAGTTTATAATGGGAATAATAATAGTACCTACCTTAGAGGCTTGTTGTGAGGATTAAATGAAATAGTCCACATAAAGATCTTAACACAGTAACTAGCACATGTTGTTGTTAGCTGCTGTTGAGTTGGCCCCACTTGTGGCGACCCCGTGCACAACGGAACTAAATGTGATCAGTTGGGGACTGGACTGTTGTGATTCACAGGGTTTTTACTGGCTGATTTTCAGAAGTAGATCACCAGGCTTTTCTTCCTAGTCTGTCATAGTCTGTAAGCTCTGCTGAGACCTGTTCAGCACTATAGAAACACCCAAGCCTGCACTGACAGACAGGTGGTGGTTGCACATGAGGTGCATTGGTTAAGTGCTTATTAAATGTTAGCCTTTATATTCTATCAAATGACACATGTGCATCTAGCCCCTGTGGTGGAGGTTAAAGTGGGGATACCATCATTCTTTTCTTTGACCATGGGAAGTCAAACACTGCGGTTGCCCTTCTCAAAGGGCTTACCTCCTACCTCTAGAAATTTCTTTCTACCCCATCCCCAGCTCCCAGCCTATTGTCCACCTGGCCTCTTCACTGAATGTGACCCCACCAGCCATCAGCGTGGTTCAGCGAGACTGCAGGCGGCGAGGCCAGGAGGCAGCTTGCCTGACTGCAGCTCTTTGCTTCCAAGTAACCTCGCGCACTCCTGGCCGCTGGGACCACCGATTCCGTGAGTGACTACAGTGCATCCTGGCCAACCCTCAAGCCCTTGCTTGCATTTGTCTCTGGACCCCTCTCCACCATCACCTTGCCTCCCCCATTTAGATATGCGGTTCACAGCATCACTGGATGAGTGGACAGCTGGGGCACGCGCAGCATTTGATGGCTTTGGCCAGAGGCTGTTCCCTCGGCGGCTCCGGCTCAGTGTGGGGAATGTCACTTGTGAGCAGCTGCACTTCCATGTACTGGTAAGAATGCACTAGGAACTGCTTTGCCTCAGGGTCTGGGAGTGAGGGGAAGGCTGAGACAGAGAAGGAATGTGGCTGGATCAGCTTGAAAGCTTAAGCTAGAAAAATGAGGGAGAGAGCTCCGACTTTGGAGTCAGGCTGATGAGTGCTGGCAAGCCACTTGAACCTTCAGACCTCAGTTTCCTTGTCTGCAAAGGTGGATAATAACAATAACTACCTCATAGGAGTTGTATTAGAATTACATTTAATAGTATTGATAAAACCTTAGGACAGTGCCCAGCACTCAGAAAGTGCTCAATAAATGATCACTATAGTTATCATTGGAGCCCTGATGGCACAGTAGTTTAAGCGTTTGACTACTAACTAAAAGATCAGCAGTTTAAACCCACCAGCCACTCCTTGGAAACCCCGTGGGGCAGTTCTCCTCTGTCCTATAGGGTCGCTATGGGTTGGAATCAACTTGATGGCGACGGATTTGGTTTTTTTATAGTTATCGTTGGAGCCCTGGTGTCATAGTTGTTAAGAGCTTGGCTACTTACCAAAAGGTTGGCAGTTCAAATCCACCAGCTGCTCCTTGGAGACTCTATGGGGCAGTTCTACTCTGTCCTATAGAGTCGCTATGAGTCGGAACAACTTGATGGCACCTAATAACAATAACAACGTAATTATCATACCCTGTTAGGACCCTGGGGTGTAGCCCTGACTCTGGTTCCCCATGACCCTTGACTCTGGTTTCCCTCAGGATGCATCAGATTATCTCCGACCAGTAGCCTTGACTGTGACCTTTGCCTTGGACAACACCACAAAGCCAGGGCCTGTGCTGGATGAGGGCTCACTCACCTCCATACGAAAGCTGGTCAGCAGTGCCAAGCCTTACCCTGCCCCTGGGTCCCAGCTCTGCCCTTCCCAGTGAATTCAAGAGAAAGGGGAGGGAAGAGACATGAGATCACAGTGAAACCTGACCTGGGACCCCACAAATCAAAGTATACCCACTCTCTCTCTTTACTTTTTCCTCCAATTCCATTCGTTCCTCCTTTGCTTTCCTCTTAGCCTTCAGCCCCTTCTCTCTCCTCCAGGTCCCCTTCTCGAAGGATTGTGGCCCTGACAATGAATGTGTCACAGACCTGGTTCTTCGAGCTAATATGGACGTCAGAGGCTCCAGGTGGGAAGGACATGAGTGGCCAAACCAGGGTGACCTGAGACACATCAGAAGGACTTGAAGGGAGCTGGGGGATTGTCTCTCACCTGTAATAATAGAAGTGAGGCTTTTGGCACCCCTTCAACTCCTGGGCTCTCCCTTCTCCACCACTCCTAGGAAGGCACCTTTTGTGGTTCAAGGTGGCCGACAGAAAGTGATAGTGTCAGCAACCCTGGAGAACAGGAAGGAAAATGCCTACAACACTAGCCTGAGTCTCAGTTTCTCCAGAAACCTCCACCTGGCCAGCCTCACTCCTCAGGTGCCCTTGGGGGAGGGGGACTGGGTGGAGGGGAGAAAGGAGGAGGAAGAAAATTAATGTATTGGCCTCAGCCCTGAGGTCCTCTGGAGAAGGGCTCAGTGTTTGAAGACTGGGGGTAGGGGAGGTGGCTGACAACACGGCCTCAGCTCCAGCCTCCACCCTCATTCCTCTGTTCTCAGAGGGACAGCCCAGTGAAAGTGGAATGTGCAGCTCCTTCCTCTCATGCCCAGCTTTGCAGTGTGGGACACCCTGTCTTCCAGAGTGGGGCCAAGGTGAGTTAGGATCCAGGATGAGAAAGGGGCTCTGGGAGAACAGAGGCTGGGGCCTGGGAGTTCAGGGAAGGAAGTGCACAGAGCTCCTGTTCCTCTGTAGTTGCCCCATGAGGAGGAATCTACCATGACTCCATGTCTCCTGCCTCCAGGTGACCTTTCTGCTAGAGTTCGAGTTCAGCTGTTCTGCCCTCCTGAGCCAAGTCCTCGTGAGGCTGATTGCCACCAGGTGAGAACAAAGGAAACTTCTTCCCAGCCCTCTCCTATAGAGTCTTGACTCCTCTACTACTAGAGAGGGGTGTTTGAGGAGGGGCGGGGATGTGAGCCTCTCCCCCTGACCCTACAGCAATAGCCTGGAGACAAATGAGACCCTTCAAGATAATACAGCCCAGGCCTCAGTCTACATCCAGTATGAGCCTCACCTCCTGTTCTCTAGGTATGGCCCAGCTCCCAGCTAGGATCCAGTTTGGACCCCAGATGCATACCTTTGTTTCCTCCTTCTCCCTCCATGTGCTGCAGTATTCCCAGAACCCCAAATGCTTGGGGCTGCTCCATTTCTTTGCCCCCAATCCCACTCATGCTGAACTTTTTCTTTTAAACATCTTACTTTCCTTACAAATAGGGTACTGTACAGTATTGGGGGATTGGAGCTGGGAGTGGGGGTATAGGATGTGGCCATAAAGTTTACACCAAGTCCATGTTCATGTCCCATTTCTGTCTTCTCCATGTGCCCCCACCTCTTTATCCATGTGCTGGCCCTGCCTTCCCTGAATCCATGTCTGTGTGCTGATCATGTGCCCCTGTGTCTGTGTCATGACTGTGACCATGTACTTCCTGACTTGGTGTCCACGCAGTGAGTCCACCCTGCACCGCTATGAGGTTCACCCATACGGGGCCCTCCCAGTGGGCCCTGGCCCTGAATTCAAAACCACTCTTAGGGTGAGAAGCTGGAGGAGGGCTTGGCATGAACGGGGGAGGGGAAGGAGGAGGAGCAAGAGCTGTGTGGAAAAAGGATGGCGAGAGTGTCTTTTGGATCTCAGTGATATCTGGGGTGGAAGGGGACAGATGAAGAAGAGTATTCTTTTGTCTCCCACCTCCTCCCATTTCCAATCCCTCTCTTAGGTGCAGAACCTCGGCTGCTATGTGGTCACTGGCCTCATCATCTCAGCCCTCCTTCCAGCTGTAGCCCATGGGGGCAATTACTTCCTGTCATTGTCTCAAGTCATCACCAACAATGTGAGTGTGGGCTAGAGGTGTGTGGGACCCTGCCACCTTGAGCTGGTGGACTTATTGGAGCTGGACTCCCACACATGACAGCTCCCTATCTGCTGGGTCCCCTGGGGGACTCTCTTTTTACATATGTGGCTCTTTGAGAAGAAAGAAAGGGATTATCCAGGGAAGAACTACAAGAATATGGGTGGTATATTCCTGCTCAGCGTGGGGTAGCTGACCTCTCACTATCAGGAGGGTCACTTAAGTTGGATTTCCCTCTAGGCAAGCTGCACAGTGCAGAACTTGACTGAGCCCCCAGGGGCCCCTGTGCACCCAGAGGAGCTTCAGCACACAAGCAGACTGGTATGAGTCACAAGACAGAGAGAATCCAGAGTGGGCATGTGGGGTAGGGGGCAGTGGAGTCAGGGTAGCCCCGAGACAGGGGAGTGGGGCCCGGAGAGGGGAGGAGAGGATCTCTCTAGCCCAGAGTCCTGATTTCTCTCTCTTTCCTGGTAGAATGAGAGCAATACCCAGTGTCAGGTCGTGAGGTGTCACCTTGGACAGCTGGCAAAGGGAACCGAGGTCTCTGTTGGACTGCTGAGGCTGGTTCACAATGAATTTTTCCAGAGAGTAAGCCTTTCCCTTTCTACCATTCTCCTTCTGCTCCTCTCTGGAACTTGAGTATAGGATTTAGAGGTAGACAGACCTATGTTGAAGTTCTAGCTTGGCCTGTTATAAGCTGTTTGACCTTGAGAAAGTTATTTGATTTCTCTAAGCTCCTATTTCCTCATCTCTAAAATGGGAAATGATAATACCTATTTCATGCAGCTGTTGTGAAGAATAAATGAAATAGTGATCTGGGTATATGGTGAACACTCAATAAAAGCTAGTTAATATCCTTGTATTTCTCTCCATTAACCATCCCTTAGTGCTATGTCAATAATCATCAACATTTACAGAATACCTGAATTCAGTCAATTAATAATCCATTGTGTAAGTGCCTCCTATGTAAAAGACACTGAAGAAGATGTCTACAACATTTAACACCATGCTTAACTCATTGTATGTGCCTAATACGTTTTTGTTAAGTGAATAGATAAATGATTGATATTACATGCAGGGTTTGTATTGGGGAGTAATGATTATATAGTTCAAAGGTCTCTAGATTGCAAAGGTCTCTAAAGTTAGCCAGAAGTGATTGATCCTAGTCAAGAGTGAGTTCCTGAGTAGAGAAATGACATCTCAATTATAACAACCTACATGTATTTAGTGCTATGCGTTTATATTATGCTTTTCCATATACCACCTTCTTTGAACAACACAAGATCCCTAGGAGGCAGGTGTATGTTTTAGAAAAGTTAAATCTGGCAGACCACCACTATCCAAGGCTAGTTTTCTCTGTATCCGTCCTTGGTGTTGTTTTTTTATCTATCTATTTATTCTTTCAACAAAGACTTGTTGAGGAACCACTATATACTTGAGACTGTGCCAGGCACTAGGTACTGGGGTCATGGAAATTAAGACACAGTCCTTGCCCTCAAGGATCTTAGAGTTCAGTGGTGAAAGACAGATAATTAAACAGAATATTATAACCTGATCCAGGGAAGTGGGTTAGGAGGAAATACTTGCCTAGTTTCTAGAAGGGATGACATATAAACCTGAACCTAAAGGAGGGGTAAGAGTTAGCCAAAGGAAAGGGGAGTGGAATACATCTGAGGCAGATCAAACAGCATATAGGAAGGGCCAGAGGTTTTTCCATCTTTTACCCTTCCTCTCTTTACCCATTGGTCACCAACTTTTTCTTCTGATCTTGAGGGTTCCAAAGAACCACACCACCTGATGATGGTTCACTTCAAATGCCTTCCCATCCACTCATTCCACAGGCCAAGTTCAAGTCTCTGACAGTGGTCAGCACCTTTGAGATGGGAACTGAGGAGGGCAGTGTCCTACAGCTGACTGAAGCCTCCCGTTGGAGCAAGGTGGAGCTGGGGCTGAGTTGGAGAGCTGTAAAAATAGTGAGGGTGGGGGTGGGGTAAAGGGCACCCCTGGACCTTTTGAGAGCAGAGGCATCACATTAGGCAGCAGTTGGTGAGTCAAAAGTGATAAACCAAGATGCTGGGGTTCCACTGCCTCCATTCTTGCTTCAGTGTCTTTCCTTTAAACAGAAAAAAAGCTGTTTTTTCTTCTATTTAGGGTCTGGCTTTGCTATAATGTGGGGTGAGGCTAACTGGACTAAAGACTCTATGTAAAAAACAGCTCTTCTCCCTATACAGAGCCTCTTGGAGGTGATTCAGACCCACCTTGTCTTCATCTCCCTGTGGATTCTCATTGGAAGTATCCTGGGAGGTCTGCTCCTGCTTGCTCTCCTTGTCTTCTGCCTTTGGAAGGTAGGCATTGCTTTAGTGGGAAGTATGCAGCATGGTGCTCACGAGTTGAAGGATCCTTGATTATAGCAGGGAGAACAGAATTAGTGCTGGGCAGCTGAGTAGGTTGTGGGTGTCATGCCTAAATCTCCTGCACTGTATTCCACAAATGTTGGTTGAATTAAATTAAGCTGAATAGAATAAATTTTTATCCCATTTTTGGAAGCAGAACAAAGTGCAGACTTCAGATAAGTCTGAGGGCTATTGGCAAGGTCCCCAGTCAGGACATTTGGTAATGACTTTTATCTCTTCCTCTACAGTTTGGCTTCTTTGCCCATAAGAAAATCCCTGAGAAAGAGAAAAGAGAAGAGAAGTTGGAGAAATGAATGTAGAAAAAGGCTCTAGAAAGCCCTCCCTGGTAGCTTCTCTAAAAGACTTGCGTAAGAGTGGAGGTTTGGGGGCCCACATGGACAAGAAGGAGGCTTTGGTCCCTCTCTCCGAACCTGCAGCCTGGCCTGACTTTTCAGTCATGGGGATGCTGTTGGCAAGAGATGAGACTTTACCTCAGCCAGTAAGGGCTGGCACCAAAACTATCACACTCTCACCCTGTGCTTCCCTTCTCCTCATGATCCTGGGTTCTGGAGCCAACACTGAGACCTTCGTTTGGGGCCTTGTTTTCCCCCATCCCCTGAGAATCAAGAAGTTTTTGCCGAGGTCCCTGACTCCTTTGAGATTCTGTGTCCTCCCTCCCAATTTAGAAAGGATGAGGGTTATCCTCCTCTAGTCCCCGCCCTCTCACCTTCCTGCCTGCCCTCACTCCACAGGAGGGAGCTGATGTTGGCTTGAAGGACGTAAAGTCAACATCTGCTGCTTTCCTGTGGAGTTTGGTGATTCAGAGAACCAGATGGGGAGAGTCAACAGGAAAAAAGGAGGGAGGCAGAAAAGCCACAAGAGACATTCTGTACAATTTTAAGGAACAGAGAAGCGTTTAGACAGGCAACTGGCATCCCCCTGAAACCTGAGACTTCGTGCACTTGCCCGCCCTCAGGTGCTGGTGAAACAGAGCTGCCCCCAGGCTTGCTGGGCTTCCCAACCAGCAGCCTTGCCTGGGAGAAAAGCCAGGGCCTGGTGACTGATTTGCTGGAGCCAGGGGCCGCCAGGTGGCTAGAGCTGAAATAGCAGAGAAGACTCGCTACCCCCGGCAATGTTTTCTGCACCTTTCACAGACCTTTCCCACCCGTAAGCCTACCTTGAGGGCCTCCTTAAAGAAACCAGAGATAGTGTAGAGGATTGTTGATTGATAGTGGGAAATCCTATAGCCTTACCAGCTTTGGAGAGCAGCAGCCCTGTGCAATCTGAACAAGTGGGGTTAGCATTAAGAAGAAGCTAAAGTGAGCAGTGTGAGGTCTGTGGGGAACAAGCCCTTACTTGCTCAGCACTGGTTGTGTAGCACAAATAGCTCGTTGCAAAATATTTCAGAGGCAGCCACAGTTACACCACACCTTGTAGTGCTTCTCTGGTAGAATCTGTTTGCCAGCCCTTGCCTGATGTTTACTGGAAAATCTCGAGTTAATTTTTGTCTCTGGATTCCCCCCATCTCTCACTCCCATTGTTTGGTCATGGCCAGTAAAGGGAACTAGATTCTCATCAACAACTGAGTAACTTATATTTCTTTTGAAATCAAGACTTTGGATACAAAGTCATTTATTAGTCTCCAGAGTGCAGCTCTGGCAGTCATTTGAAGAATCAGCACCCATTTAGAGATGAGAAGAGAGGAGACCTGACTGGACAGTTGACTAGCAGCTACAGAACCTGTCTTCAGCGGCTGTTCCTGAGGCCTGGCCACAATGTTTTTTTTTTGGCTTGTCCCTGGCCTTCTGCAGAGAGCCACCCTCATGGGCATTGTCTCTGTTTCCCAGTAAGGCGACAGTATCAGATGGTCAAAACAAATAAAGTTCAGTGTCAGATGACTTCTTGTTCCATTTGAGTTACCTAGGCAGGACATGGATTGCTCAGGAATAGTAAGCGGTAGATTCTTAATTTGCCTGAGACCTTACACAGTGGAGTCCTGGAAGGTAAAGTTATGAAATATTTGAAATGTTTTCTGTGACTCCCACTGCAGATGTGCTCCAGCCTCTTGCAATCCCCACCTACTTAAGTGACCACAAAGTATATAGTGTGTGGGTGTAAAAATGGCATGGCGGCGGCTTCTGACCTCCTCTAAGTTCACAAGGGGGAAGGAGAATCAAGATGAACAGTCCAAGGCTGATTCCTATGAGGCAGAGGTCAGACATACCTCCTCTCTCCGCCGTCTTTACCAATTCTGACACCAACCATCCCTCCCATGGCACTCTCTACCACTTTACTGGGTTCAATAAGTCATTGCAATGACCACACAGAACTCACAGACAATACTCAGTGTTGTGGGGTTTATTAGGGAAGTAACAGGTTACCATTCAGGTTCAGGAATGTTCAGGATATGGTTCTTCAGTCAGGGCAGGCTCTTCTCAGCCATACCCACAGGCAGGCCTCTCTCTGGCCCCTCAGCCTCTTGGCCCAGCCTCTGCCTTGCTCAGGCAAGTGTTACAAAGCTCTTTTAGCTCTGCCGATAAGTGCCCAGAGACACCCTACTCTGCCAGTAAGCCTCGTGCCCAAAGGCGCTCAGCTTTCTCACTTCATGGGCCGGGAAGCCCCTTTCGTGCTGGTCTCCTAATTCTTGCTGTCTCATGCAGCCATCTCTCACTGTATTCCATGTTACAGCTTATCTCTCAGTCTCCTGGATCTAGGGAGTGCAGGGATCCTGAGTCCAAAGGATGCACTCCACTCCTGGCTCTTCTCTCTTGGTGGTGTTGAGATCCTCCCTTCTTGCCTCTTGGAAGGCTCATTTTTAAGCCTAGTGGATTAGCAAAACTGACCAATCCCCTCATTAGGGTTCCATACACCTTATTTACATGGTCCCATCCCCACAAGGGTGTCATGTACCTTATTTACATTATTAGCAGGTTATCCAATCCCCTTGGTAGGCCACAAGCACATCATTTGCATAGTCCCACCCAGACATTTGGTGGGAGTTACAAAAACTATGGCTATAAGGGCCATATTAAGTAATGCACTGCTTTGCAGTGGGTTTGGGAAGTGCAAAGGCCTAGACTGAAATCCCAGGTCTGCCATTTATTAGTTACATGGCCTTGGGCAAATCATAACTTTCCTGAGCCTCAGATAACAATAAGAGGCTGTGTGGTACAGTGGTTAAGAATGAAGACAGACTTGAGTTTAAATCTATACCACTTGAAACCTGTTGGACTTTAATCAAATTCAATTTCTCCAAGTCTTGGCTTCCTCATCTTTAAAACTAACGGATTGTGAGGACTAAATGAGATAATTCAAGTAAAGTTAGCATATATGTAGTAAGTGCTCAATAAATGGTAATACTGCTGTAAAAGGAGTCCCTGGGTGGTGCAAATTGTTAAGTTCCCAACTACTAACTGGAAGGTTGGCAGTTTGAACCCCCCCACAGTTACCTTGAAAGAAAGGCCTGGTGATCTTCTGTCTAAAGGTCACAGCCTTGAAAACCCTATGGAACACAGTTCTACTCTGACACACACAGTTTTGCCATGAGGCAGAGTCAACTCAGTGGCTACTGGTTTTATTATTATTATTATTATTATTTTAATTGTTATAAAATAATCTACCTGCCGAGTGTTGTGAGGATTAAGTAAAAAGGTATATCGAAGCACCAGGTGGTGCTCCTGATCCGCTTCACAGACCCTGAAGATTTGTTTCTTCTTTGTGCTGTTGTTTCCTCCCACTAAATCTTGTCCTGTGCCTCATTCCTTTGGAATAAACTCTCAGTTTCCTCTAAGGTGATAATTAGCTAATTAAATTAAGGTTCTAATGGTAGAAATAAAATGTATCACAGACCCGCCTCTTTACACGCCCAGGGTCCTTCTGGGACCCCAGGAAATGTGCACTAAGCAATGGCCTTCTAGAGGCCATGTCTCTGCCTCTGTTGCCTAACCCTGAGAATGGTGGCCTGTCTGGCCTGACAAGGCAGGGACAACCATTCTGTGGCAAGCTGGTGAGAGTTATTTTGTGATGGGGGCAGGGGTGGTGGTGGTTTATGGTAGCTTTCAGAGCACTTCACGTAGGCTATAGCGTGATAAACCTTCTTGGAATATCCTGTTTCTGGGGCTAGGTCTGAAGTTAGTAGTATGTTGACAGACCTCCCCTTTTATCTCAGTAACCCCCAAAGGGAATCCCTGGGTGGCACAAATGGTTAAATGCTTGACTACTAGCTGAAAGATTGGCGGTTTGAATCCACCCAGAGGAGCCTTGGAAGACAAGCCTGCTGATTTGTTTCCCAAAGGTCACAGCCTTCAAAACCCTATGAAGCACAGTTCTACTGTGACGTACATGGGTCGCCAGAAATTGGAATCGATGCAATTAACAACAAAGCACCCAAAGGGAGGTGGATTACCTTGAGGAAATTGTTATTATCATCATTATTTCTTATTATTTTTCCGTATGATTAAAATCTAATTCTTTATCCATATGATAAAAAAGACTTTTAATATTTTTCTCCGCCTATAGATCCTTCTTCTCTCCATCCCTCAGCTCCAGGATGGAGCTTTCTCTAACCCCAACCTATATTTCAGTAAGCCTATTACCCCTTCCTTTGGAACAGAGCCAGTTTGAGAAGCAACTGTAGCAACATCAGGCTCCCCCCAGGCCCCAGAGTGTGTCTTTCTTCTTATTGTTGCTCCTCTCTCTCTCCCTTCATTCTCTCATTCATTCACTCATCAGACATTAAGCACATAGTATGTGCCAAGCAATGGGAACAATATAAAACACAACTCGTATCTTCAGTGGAGATTTCAGACTAAGACTATGAAGAAAGGCCTGGTGATCTACTTCCGAAATTCAGTCAATGAAAACCTTATGGATCACAACAGTGATCAGGAACCAATCATGGGGATGGTGTAGGACTGGGCAGTGTTGGAGGCTGACTCAAAGGCCGATAACAACAACAACAACCCTCAAAGAGCCCAGTCTAGTAGGGGAAACAAACCTGTAAACAAATAATGACAAATACGGAGAGGAGTATGTCACACACGAGGCACACTTTGTTGGGCGAGGGGTGGCAAGGTTGTCAGGGGAAGATTTACAGAAGAAACATTTGGCCTGTGGCCCATCGAGCGTGAGAAGAAGCATTCCAGGGAGTTTAAATCAGGTGCAACCAAACAAAACCTGTTGCCATCTGGTGGATTCCGACTCATAGTGACTCTGTAGGACAGAGTAGAACTCTCCCATAGGGTTTGCAAGGCTGTCGTCTTTATGGGCAGGAGAAAGATGTGGCAGTCTGCTTCCATAAAGATTTACAGCCTTGAAAACCCTATGGGGCGGTTCTGCTCTGTCCTGTAGGGTCTGTCCTCCAAGGTGCGCGCGGTCGGTGTCTCATCCGTGCGCAGTCCTCTGCTCAGCACTACCACCTCTTGGTGTTTCCAAACTGCTCCCTTCAAATCCTCTTTTGTGCCTGGGTTTTTGACCAGGGAAACTGGACAAAGGTCTCTGGATATAATAAAAGTGTCTCCGCCGGTGGTTAAATGCGACAGTTGGTTAGATCAGAGCACACCGGTAGGAGCGGGGACCGATTCGCCTCCAGCCTTCTGGCTCAGAAGGGCGGGCTTAGACCGGGTTCGAGGCGGAGCCGTAGCCTGGACCTGCGGGGCGGGGCCGGGGGAGGAGTTTTAGCCGGAGCTCGCGGGTCCCTTCTCTGATTGAGCAGGTCAATCAGAGACCGGGTGGGTTCGGATTCGGAGGGCGAGGTTTAAGGCCAGGCCCCTGCCGCAGCCGGGGACTGCGGATTTTTGCCTCTGCAGGGACGGGGTAGGACAGGGCCTGCGGCGGAGTATTAAGCCCAGCCTTCGGGTTTTCGCCTCTAACTGGGCGAGGCGGTTCCTGGGGCGGGGCTTGGGCGGGTCCCGCTCTGCTTTTGACAGCTGTTTTTTGCACAACCTCAGCTGAGTCCGGTAGGTTTGGGAACCTGTGACCCCGCTCTCCGCGCGTCCCGGTCCCCTTGCGGCCCTGGCTCCGGCGATGAAGCGCATCTTCTCCTGCTCCAGCTCACAGGTGGCGGTAAGTGCCAAAATGTCTGGAGGGATGGGAATAGGGCTGGGATCAGAGCCCTTTGGTGACCGAAGTCCTGAGTCCCATCTCCATACACCATCGCCTTTTCTCTTTATTGGTCTTTCCAGCTCTTCCGCTCCCGCAAGGCAGCCGGCCAGCGCTGCCTTCTTCAAGATCCTGCTCCCCAGGCACTTAACCCCTGCCCTCTTCAAAGTCCTTTCCCTCAGCCCCTTCTTCTCCTCCTAACCCTTACACCTCCAACTTCCGGTATGTTTCCTGCATCCCCTGCCTCCTCTCGAGGACTTGTCCCCTAGTTCTGTTTTGTCTCCCAGTATTGAACCATCTCCAGCATCTGTCTCATCCCCAGCGTTAAGCTCCATTCTGTCCCCTCTCCAGTACGGTCCTCCTCTACAGCCCCATCTTCCAGCCCTGCCCTGTTGCCACAATCCTCCACTTCCATATGACCCTATCCTTGCTCCCTGTCAGTCCAGCAAGTATTCTCAGCCCTATGCCTTTCCCTAGTTCTTCTTCACAGAGTCTTCTCTGTCCTTGCCCCCTTCCCACCCCATGGAATTTCCACTCCCATTCTCTCACTAGCACTGCTGGCCATTAAATATCGCTCCAAACCCCTTTCAATTGGCGATCCCATAATAGCAGCCTTCTGCTGTTTTCCCCTCTGACCTCTGCCCCTCTCTGCCCAGTGGTCACCCAATCTCACTTTCCCCCTTTTGCTGGGACCTCCTTCTGCTTGCTCTCTGTGGGTTAATCTTGCAGTCTGGTTAGCCTGACAGGCACTGCCAGAGGACACACAGTTGCCTGGCCCCTCCCCAAGGAACTGGGTGAGTTGCCTGCAGAATCCACCCCAGCCGGTTCACTGTGGTGTCTGGTCATCAGACTGGTTTTTGGGCCAGTCAAGGCTTTCTGTCTGTTTCTCCTCAGAACCTTCTTCACCCTAAACCCTCACCGAGTTGTTTAGGGCTTGTGCTCTCTGCTTCCTTTGACTCAGGTGGGGAAAAATGATGGTGAGAGGTGAAGAGGATAGGGTAGACTCACTCTGAGGGTTCCTAGCAGAAGTCACTCAACTCCCCACACTCTCCTAGAACAAAATACCAAGAAGATTATGGAAGGGGGTGGCTAAGGGAGGGTGCAGCTTCTACTTCTCTGAAGATCTCTTACAGAGAGACACCCCACCTCCCCCAATCTGGGGATGTAATTTTCTGTGGAAGTTGTGGATTATGGTTCATTTAGAAGTGAATTAGCCAGCTACCTCTAGCAATGTTGCTTAGTGTAACCTGACTTAGGTGTCATTCATAAGCAAACATGAGAAATGCTCACGTAGCTCACTCTGCATGGGCAGGCCACAGAAGCCTGAAGTGAGCTATGAGGCAAGAGTCGGTACTCTGTTGAGGCCTGTCTGTGGCCCATTTACGTTTGCTTCTCCACTTAGTTTCCACACATTGATGAACCAGTTAAGAGGAATTCACTGAATGACTATGATAGGTACCAGAAGTTGAGAGTACCCAGAATACTCTGTCTTACTTCTTAACAATTTTCTTACTCATGTGGACTCTTCCCTAGTTTCTGAAAGTCCTCAACATTGCCTTTCCCTTTCAGGAGCTTTGTAGAGACTACCTGTTCCTTCGGAATGGGGAAACTATTCCATTCTTCCTGATTTTCCAATTCCTGGGCTGTAAGGTTTCCTCACTTAGGCTAGGGTCACAGAAAACTTGAAACTAGGGGCCGTTTTTAGTTGCAAATTGTTACCTCGTGAAACTTCGCCACACTTTAGATTATAAATTCTTCCATCCCTTGGGTAGCCAACCACCCTGGACCCATTTGTCAAAGAAATATAGTGACAACCTCCCTGGCCACTCCCAAAGTCTGATGCCGGAAGATTACCTCTCCCCATCCCTACTCCCACCCCTGGGTCCAGAGCCCTGCACCCTCAATCTGAGATAACGACTGAAAAAGCAGTGATCATTTAAAATTCATCTGTTATCCAGAATACAGGAAGTTCAACCAACAAATAAACAAAAACCAGCTCCTATAATCTCATTTTGTTTTAGTCAGTTAAAGGATGCCTTTGAGGGCGTCGCACATATTAGCTTACTTTGGCTATGTAGGAAATACACCAGAAAATCACTTTAGATGGTTGTTGACACTGGACCAGTTTAGAGGAATATTTATTGCATTTAAAAACAACTGAGAGGTCCTGGTTCCTTCAGGGCAGCCTTTCTGTTTCCATTCACCTGGTAGCTACTCTTTCTCTACTCATCCATCTTGATAGGATGCTAACAGGTACACAGCTAGAGATAATGGAAGGGACCCTGGTGGTGCACTGGTTAAAGCGCTCGGCTGCTAACTGAAAGCTAGGCATTTCGAACCCACCAGCTGCTCTGCAGGAGAAAGAGGTGGCAGGCTGCTTCCAGACAGACTACAGCCTTGGAATTGCCCTATAGGGCAATTCTACTCTGCCCCTTAGTGTCGCTATGAGTAGGAATCGAATCTACGGCAACGGGTTCAGTTTGGTAACTACACTTTCTCTACTCACCCATCTTGATAGGATGATAATAAGGAGAGGGTGCAATTACTTCTACAATGGCCCCCTAATCTTGGCTACAGAAATGCAAATCTTGCCCTTGTTTTTGAGTCGGTTGATTAATTTGCTGATTGCTCCCTTGAGGTTGTGATGATAATCCAGTGCCTCCTTTCCAAGAAGCTGGGTAAGCCATGGGCTGAATTTTGCAATCTGGGACCATCTCTCTGTCCTTCTCCCCATCTCTGCAGAGGTTTGGCCATTTCCACCCATTCTAAACTCTTTTTAGTATAATGAGATTATAGAAAGTAAATTGAGTGGATTATTCATTGGCTGGTATGAATAAGATCCCTTCCTTCCACTCTGTCTGGGGAATTCTGAGCTCGGGAACATCCAAAATGTGTCCAGTAATGCCAGGAAGGATGAAGATTGGAGGTAACATTTATTGTCACCTACTATGTGAAGACACTGCTAAGGGCTTTATGTGGTATTATATCATTTGGAAACAGATTCAGAGAAGTTGTTATCCACTGCCATCGAGTCGATTCAGACTCGTAGCAACCCTATAGGACAGAGTAGAACAGCCCCATAGGGTTTCCAAGGCTGTAATCTTTACAGAAGCAGACTGCCACCTCTTTCTTCTGTGGAGTAGCTGTTAAGTTTGAACCACCAACCTTTCTGTTAGCATCCAGGTGCTTAACCACTGTACCACCAGGGCTCCTTAGAGAAGATGTTGCTTGCCTAAATTCACAGAGATAGAAAGTGTTAGAGTCAGGATTTTAAACAAAGAACTTCAGGTTGAGGTCAGTTGACAGCTATGCCATGAGGCAGAAGTGTACTTCTAGCTGTCTGCCTTTTCTGGGAGTGAACTTGTCCCTAACGGTATTGAATAATGTGTTCTTACATCGCAGAGTCTGTTGGATTGTGAAGGAGTCGTTTTGCTTATTTTGTCCTTTGAGAATTAATCTGTTTTCAGACTATTCTCTAGGCGGGGAGTAGCATCCGAGGGTAGGTGGATTTGCCCTGAAAGCAGTCTCAGACTGTTTATCTAGAAATTAACAAGCTTTCTTCCATAGCTCTGTAGTAGTGTAGTCCAAAGGTGAGAACTAGGATTTGGTATCAGATGGCCTGGGTTCTAATCCCAATTTTACCACTATTTTGTAGTATGACCCTGGACAGTTATCTAACCTCAATGTGTTTCAACTTCTTTCAAATAGGTATAATAATATCAGCCCTAACTACTTTCTAAGGATGTTGAGAGGCTAACTGAAACAGCACTTGAAAGGGTTATGAGGAATTACAAGTGCTGTACAGGAGTATGACCTCAGAATCTATCTAGTCTGGATAATTTTATGGTTTGGGCATTTAAAATCTTTCCTGTTGTTGATGACTAATTTGCCCTGGTTATATAAACAGTATTTGAAAATGAGTTATTGGGCTTCCATAGACCCTACTTTTCTCCACCTCCTCCCATGGCCTCTTTCTTGTTGAGATGATTGATACCTCATAAGATGCAATGTGTGCCACCAATCCCCCACCACTTCCTGTTTTGTTGTATGGATGCCATACATTTGTATGGCTCTTTACGGTTTACAGAGATTTTATATTACATTAGTTCATTTAATACAACATGATAAGGTAGTTATTATTACTCACATTTTATAGATGAGGAAATAGGTGGAGGTGTTTAGTGGCTTACTATAGCTCATACAGCTGAGAAAGTAGCTCAACCAGGCTCTGAACCCAGGCCAGCTGACACAATATTTACCTAGGACCCTTTCACCCTACCACAGAGCTTTGCATCCCTTCTTCCTCTCTTTTCTCTTCTCTAGGCCAAACCAGACTTTCCTATGCTTTCAGCCTTGATTGTTTTTACACAGTTCTTTCAAGCCCTGTGATACTTCAATTATTCTAATTACCCCATCACCCACAAAACTCAAGCTGGAATGACAGAACAATACAGCCCAGGTGTGGCTGTCCTCTGGGACAGCTGTTCCCTGCCAGGGAAACTAGGAGGGAGGGAAAGGGAGAGGAGAGAAAGGAGCTGCCTCTTGCTATCTCCTCAAGAGTAGCTAGAGTCCAATCTTTTCTTTCTGGTTGTTGTTGCCATGAAAGGGGAAGGGAGACTCGCTAAAGAGCACAGATAGGAGATATAAAAACAGAAACTCTGTGCTTCCCCTCCCAGTTCCAGGGCCCAAAGCCAACAGGTGGAGATGGTATAGCTAGACATGGCCTCTTGGCTGTGACCTGAAACTAGAAGCTTTGATTTACTTCTCAAATTGTTGTTATTGTTAGGTGCCATTGAATCAATTTTGACTAACAGTGACCCCATGTGACAGAGTAGAACTGCCCCATAGGGTTTTCTAGGCTGCAATAACTGAGGGCAAAAAGCAGAGCAGCATAGGGAGGGTAAGAGGCAATGAGAGCCCAACCAGAGTGGTCAGGTTTGTTCCATTTGCTCCAGGACACCTAGGGAGCAAAAGGGAAAGAAGTCATGATTAGGATTACTCTGAAGATGGGCACCTAACACCGATAATCATAATGATGATAAAAAGAAACTTGAAATACTATGCATTCAGCACTCATAAATGATTTTTAATTCAGTCATCCAGGTACCTTTTTTGGCCCAGGGCTGGAAATAACTAGCAATAGTTCTTGGTGGCCTATGAATTGGTAACTATTTAACTGATCCACCTAAGAAAAACTAAATGATCTATGCTGAGTGACTTGTGGAACACTGAAAGGACATCAGGATGTCTCTTTTCCTTTGCTTGGCATCCTGACCATCTCCCTCTTTTCTTTCTCTGCACTACCCTCATCCCCCATATTCACACAATTTGTGGTTCTGGACCAGGTGGAGAGATGGAACCGCCGTGATCAGAAGCTGCTGGAGGCAGTGCAGCGGGGAGACGTGGGGTGCGTGGCTGCCCTGGCCTCCAGGAAGTCAGCCCGACCCACCAAGCTAGACTCGAACGGCCTGTCCCCGTAAGTCAGTCCTCCTGAGACTACTCCTGGTATGTGGTTCCCTTTGAACCCCCAAACTCCAGTATGATGTAGGACCAGGGAATGCCTATTATTTCAGAGCCCCTTTTGTTGTCTTAAATAGCAAGCATTTAGATAAGTCTTTGCTATGTATCAAGTGCTGTACAAAGTGAAGGAAGAAGATATTGTCCCTGACCTCATCTACCTCACAACCCAGATGGACAACACTGACACAGCATGGACATAAAGCCCACTAAACAAACAGTAATCTAATACATACATTAAATAAGTCTAGTATTTCTTCATTGCACAAGTAGGAGGGTGTGTATGCTTGGGCAATTAGGAGTGAAGTGGTAGTGATGAGAGTCACATGGCTAGAGGAGTGATGTTATCCCTTGTGTCATGGTTTGAATTATGTCCCCCCAAAAATGTGTGTATCAGTTTGGCTGGGCCATGATTCCTAGTATTGTGTGATTTCCCTATGTGTTGTAAATCCTGCCTCTATGAAGTTAATGAGGGAGGATGGGTGGCAGTTGTGTTAGTAAGGCAAGACCGGATCTACAAGACTGGATTGTGTCCTGAGGCAATCTCTTGAGATATAAGACAGAAATGAGCAGTGAGACAGGGGGACCTCATACCATCAAGAAAGCAGTGCCAGGAGCAGAGCGCACACGTCCTTTGGACCGGGGTCTCTGCGCCGAGAAGCTCCTAGTCTGGAAGAACACCAAAGAGAAGAAGGCCGACAGAGAGAAAAAGACTTCCCTTGGAGCTGACACCCTGAATTTGGACTTTTAGCCTACTTTGACTGTGAAGAAATAAACTTTTCTTCATTAAAACCATCCACTTGTGGTATTTCTGTTATGGCAGCACTAGATAACTAAGACACCTTGTCTCTGCCCAAGTCAGCCTTCAAATGTCCAGCCTTCTGCTTTGCTCCAGCTGGCTCTTTCTGGGGCGCTTTCCAGCTCTGTTGAGGGTCCTGTGATCAGAGCAGCAGATAATTATTATGTGTTCCCTGGGCACTCCTGCTATAGTCTAAGATTTCTTAAGACCTGCAGCTCTTATTTCTGTCTTCACCTCCAGCTTCCTCTTACTTTATCAGAAGTCAGCTGTTGGGACTGGCCTTGGGATGGGAGAGCAGAGCAGGAAAAGCTGATTAAGATTCTCCCACTCCTCATCCCCTGCACCCTTCATCCTTCTGCCTCTCGGCCCTGATTCTGGCAGGTTTCATCTGGCGGCCACCAAAGGCCTGACAGAGTGTCTGACTATACTGCTTGCAAATGGGGCGGACATCAACAGCAAGAATGAGGACGGTGAGTGAGGAGCACTAGGCCACCCTGCTTGCTTCTCCCTTTACAGCAGCAGTGGGGGGCAGTGTTGGGCCCTGCTGGAGGTTCCAGCTATGGTCCCCTGCTTCTCCCCTCAGTCCTGGCCACCATTCCTCCAGGGGTTTCCCTTCCTGCAAGTGGGGCACACTCCACCCCCACCTCTAACATAGATACCAGACACTTGGGGAACAGGAATTTCTGGCCCCATGTGGCAGAGAGCTTCTCTAATCTCCCTCTGATTATCTGTGCATCTCTTGCGTTCCCTCCCTGTGAGTCATCAGCATGTATGGGGCCACCCACCCTCCCTCTCTTTTCAGGAAGCACCGCCCTGCACTTGGCCACCATCTCCTGCCAGCCACAGTGTGTCAAGGTCCTGCTGCAGGTAAGAGCAACCCCTTGATACTACTCCTCTGAAGGGAAGAGGTGGGCACAGAGTCTCCTAACCTTGTCTTGTAGTCACAAGCAATATTTGGCCAAATGTGCCTCTCTCACCCCCAGTAAGTGGGCCGGTAGTCATTTATTCATGAACATTTATTTAATACCTACTGTGTGCCAGGTACCATTCTGAATACTGCTCTTGAGGGCAGGCTACAAAGCAGAGTTGCCAGGACTGTCTGCTAGCCAGTCAATATGCATATAATGAGCTCCATCAGTTGCAGAGCTACTGCAAAGATCAACTGCTGTGATAATGGGCAGGTGGAAGGAGGGCTGTTGTTATTGTTAGTTGCCATGAGTCAATTCCGACTCATATTAACCCATGTGTGCAGAGGAGAACTGCTCCATACGGTTTTCAAGGCTGTGACATGTCTTCCAAGGTGCCTCTGCGTGGGTTTGCACTGCCAGTCTTTCAGCTAGTAATCAAGCCCTTAACTGTTTGCACCACCTAGGGACTCTGGAAGGAGGGCAGTGGTGTTCAAATTAAACCAAAGCCCTACATTCTGCTTTTGAAGAGTTTATAATCTAGTAGCACAGTGGAGAAATATATACGTGAAATGACATGTGAACAATTTATAACTAAATCCTCAAAAGTAAGAAGGCACAGATTACTCCAATGATTATCCTGCTTTTGTTCTTCCCAGCCCTTTCCAAGTTTTCCAGTTTTGATACTAAAGTACTAGCCATGGACTCAGGTGTCATTTTCCCTAGCATATTTATTTACCTATAATCTGATTTTTCTTAGGCCCCAGGTTTAGGAACTGGGGCTAAAATTTAATGCTGCCCATAATCTGCAAGGAATGGACTAGACTTGTCTCATAGTTGGCCTTCCCAAGTGTCATGGTCCTCCTACCCCTCTCCATATTACATGGAAGTTGATGACTCAACAGGGGGCTGTGGGATGGGGATGTTAATGCCAAGCTCCATGCTGCTTCCCTTTGTGACTGTTTGCAGCATGGTGCCAATGAAGATGCTGTGGATGCAGAAAACCGTAGTCCATTGCACTGGGCAGGTGTGTACCAGGGGTCTGGCTGGAACAGGGCTGCAGAGGCTATAGGGTGGGAAAGAGATGATGACATTTGGTGGGAAGGGCAGGCCAGAGGTGACTGCTAAAATGGTTGGAGGGGATGTTGGTTCACGGTCTGAGCAGGTGTCCTTCCTGCTTCCACCTAAACCCAATCATCTCTCAACCCTTCCCAGCCTCCTCTGGCTGTGCCTCAAGTGTTTTCCTGCTGTGTGACCATGAAGCCTTCCTGGACGTTCTGGATAATGTGAGTGTCAGCTAGGCAGCTGGGTAGTGCTCTGCACAGGGACACTGCTGCTCTATCTGGACTTGACTGGCGAAATTCCATAACCAAGGTCTAGACAGCACCACCTTCTTCTTCCTTCTCCCGACCTTTCCTCCTCTTCTTCACAGAGGGGCTGCTAGGTCTTGTCTTCTGGAAAGCTTCTAACCCTCCAAAAAGGAGTATTTAGCCCTACAACCTGCTCATTTTTCTGGAGAGGTGTGGGGACCGGGGAGTTGGTAGGACTGTGTCAAGCCCTGGCTCTCTCTGGTTTCTCATAAATCCCCTTCCCACAATCTGTGCAGGATGGTCGGACACCCCTGATGATCGCATCGCTGGGTGGTCATGCAGCTATCTGCTCTCAACTGTTGCAGAGAGGTGCCCGAGTTAATGTCACAGACAAGGACGACAAGTGAGCCCTCCCCATCTTCCCACTCCAATTTCAACACCTTGATCAATTTAGACAGAGCATTGGGCAAAGTATATATGTGTACTAGGGAAGAAGGTGGGTTAATCTCTGTGTTCTTGGGAGCCTCTTTCCTTCCTAGTGGTTATTCAGAAGAGCTCTGCCTGCGCTGGTAATAGGGAACCCAAGGTCGAGAAGGGAGAGTGTCATGGGGTTGTTAACCAATGTCATAAAACAGTATGTGTACCAACTGTTTAATGAGAAACTATTTGTTCTATGAACCTTCATCTAACGTACAATTAAAAAAAAAAAAAAAAGAAGAAGAGATCTGCCTGCTGCTTTGTTGTTTTCCTCTTGGGAGTTGAGGAAACTTTTTAGTTGTTATTGCCATCACCATCCTCCTAGCATAGATAAACCCAGATAAAATTGGTATCTCTGGACCCATTGGCTTAATTTACTGGTTTTCAAACTATCTTCTAAGCAATGGAATCCTTTTTTTCCAATAAAAAATGTATGCAGAGCTTCAATATATAAAGCAGATAAAAGTAGAACCCTTCCTGTTAGCCCCATGTTTCCTGACTGCTGTGGCTCCAAGGAACATTTTTTGAAAGTTCTGTTCTCATCTAATGCCTTGTCATTGGCTGGTGATTGTCTGTTGTTCTCCTGATCACACTAAGTAAGAGCTGACCCTTTGAATGGAATTTTTGGATCAAGAACTCCTGGATTCCACAGGGAAAGCTCAGATTTGTCCTAATTCACAGATCGGCTCTGATCCTGGCCTGTGAGAAAGGCAGTGCCGAAGTGGCTGAGCTGCTCCTGAGCCACGGAGCAGATGTGGGGGCAGTGGACAGTACAGGACATGATGCCTTGCATTATGCTCTGCGCACGCAAGACAAGGCACTGTGGAGGCTGCTACAGCAGGCCATGAACCGGCGGCAGTGGGGAGGTAAAGCTGATTCCCTTTTGTAACTTCAAGTTTCTCCTCCATAGCCTTAGACTCAAGGAAGTTTCCTAGAATCCCATTCATTCCCATGGAGATATTCCAGATGACAAATAATTGTCACCTTAGTTGAGAGTTTACTTATGTATTGCTGCTGTTATGAGATGACCCCAAGTTCCCAAAGGCATGGTCACAGAAATCCTTAATGCAACCTTATCTCTCATTGAGGGTAACTCTGGATGGTACTATTGTTGGCATTTATTAGTTGTAATTTTATATCTATTTGTGCAATTTACTGGTCAATCTCTCTCCTTAAATAGACTGGAAACCCCTCAGATCATAGGCCATTTCTGTTTTGCTCACACTGAGGTCCCAGTGGCACATAATAGGTGCCCAATAAATAAATGAATTAAAAAAAAAAAAAAAAAAGAATGAGCAGGCCTATCTCTGGGATAGGAAACCAAGGTTTCCAGACAGTTAGGGGACCATTGAACATGGGTAGCTCCTGGCACCAGGAAGTCATGTGTGGTGAGAGTATTATACTGAGAAATTCTGAAGACAGAGTGTAGACTAGAAGCACATAACACAGGACCTATCTCATTTTCCCATATCTTTTCTTATAGGTCAGGGGCTAGTTCAACACCCATATCTTGCATCCCGGGTAAGAACCTAAGTGCTTCCCCCTTTTGCTTCTGACCCACCACAGGCTATCCCACTTGGACATCTCCCAGGCAGTAGGCCTTGGGCAGCAAAACAGTTGAAGAAAGAAAGGCCCTCCTGGGCTACGTTAGCTGCATGGCTTCATCTCACTGTTCTGTTCTCTATACAGGCCTCTCCATCTGAGCCCCAGGTGGGCTCTCCACCTAACAGCCCATGGAGAGCAGAGCCCGAGGAGGAGCAGAAAGAAGAGGAGGATGAAGATCCGTGTTCAGACGAGTGGAGGTGGAAGTATGAAGAAGAGCAGAGGAAAGTTTCTCAGTTGGAGCAGGAGCTGGTACAAAAGACAGAAGAGTGTAAGGCTCAAGCTGCAGCCTACCTGGGTCTGGAGAACCAGATTCGAGAGCAGGTGCAGGAGCTGGGGCTCTTCTTTTCTCAAGAGCCTGGAACCCCAGGAGGGCAAAGCTCTAGTCTCTGGGCTAGGGGGGATGGCATGGAGCAGGGATGTCCCCTAGACCTGCTGGCTGACTGCATACAAGAGCTAAAGAAGCAACAGCAGGTAGCCACAGCAAACCCAAAATTAACTCCCAAGAAGACCCAGGATTCAGACCCAGGAGATATTCAGTATGAAGCCCATGGAAGGTCTCAACCAGAAGAACAGGGGCCACCACAGAGCCCAAGGTCTGAGACCATTGGGAAGGACACAGGACAGCAAGTAACCACCAGTGGGGGACAGGCCCTTGATCCCAATCAGACTGACCAACTGCGTGCTTAGCACAAGGAGAGGCCCCAGACCCCAGGGGCTGAACCGGTAGGCGCAGTGTCCGAACTAGTGGGCCCAGCAGCCATGAACCAGCTCCTGCTACAACTAAGGGAGGAGCTAGCTGTGGTGTGGCGAGAAAAGGATGCTGCCCGGGGGACTTTGTCCAGATCAGTCCTGGAGGGAGCTCTGGGGACTTCCCAGGCTGAAGCTGCAGCAGCTGCCTGGGAGAAGATGGAGGCCAGGTTGGAGCAGGTGCTGGTGAGGCTGGATAGAGCAAAGGCAGGGCTACAGGTGAAGCTGGAGGCTCCAGCCAAGGAGCCCAGAGATGGGGTCCCAAAGGCAACCCCAGGGACCATCACCAAAGAGGATAAAGGGAAGGAGAAAAAAGCCCCTGGGGGCTGGAGAGAGCCTCTAGGAGCCCCTGGAGGGGAGCAGGCCCCAGAAGGAGGCCTGCCAAAGGGACAGCTGGAGAAGGAGGTGTCAGCACTGCGACTGAGCAACAGTAACTTGCTGGAGGAACTAGGGGAGCTGGGGCAAGAGCGGCAGCAGTTGCAGGGCGAGCTGCAGTCCCTGAGCCAGCGGGTACAGCGGGAGTTTGTGCCCAAGCCAGAGGCACAAGTCCAGCTACTACAGTTGCAGCAGAGTGTGGGGCTGCTGATGGATGAACTGGCCATGGAGAAGGAGGCCACAGAGAAGCTGCGGAAGCGGCTGGTCTCCCAGAGCAGTGGCCTTCGAGGGCTGTGGGACTGCCTGCCCCCAGAGCTAGTGGGCAAGGGGAGTGCCCAGAGCACAGCAGCGGAGCCCCTGGAGGAGCTGCAGGCCTGCATCAGCACCCTGGTGGATAGGCACCGCCAGGCCCAGCAGGTGCTGGTTCAGCTGGAGGAGGAAAACCAGCAGCTGCGAGAGACCACGGTCCTACGTGGGGAAACAGAGACCTCAAAGGTCCCAGCATCCCCCCCAGTGGCTGCTCTGGAGCAAAACCTGGAGAAGCTGGAGGAGGAACTGCGGGCCGTTCACTCCACAATTAGCGGGAAGAGCCAGGAGATCGGGAAGCTGAAGCAGCTGCTCTACCAGGCCACCGAGGAGGTGGCTGAGCTGAGGGCGCGGGAGGCGGCCAGCCTGCGGCAGCATGAGAAGACTCAGGACTCACTAGTGGCCCAGGCCCAGGCGTGGGGCCAGGAGCTAAAGGCCCTGCTGGAAAAGTATAACACCGCCTGCCGGGAAATGACTCAGCTCCAGGAGGCAGTGGTGGAGGAGCGCCGCAAGAGAGGGGATCTGGCTGCGCGGGCCGCGGACCAGGAGCAGGAGCGTCAGGTCAGCGAGATGCGCAGGCGCTCTCAGAAGTTTGAGAAGACAGCCGAGCTGCTGAAGGAGAAGATAGAGCATCTCATTGGGGCTTGCCGGGACAAGGAGGCCAAGGTGAGCAGGCGAGGCAGCCGGGGGAGTATTGGGGGAAGGTTTCTGTGTGTTTGGGGGTCTGCTCTCTGAACCCACCTGTTGGTTAGATTAATACTCCAAATTGAGTGCCAATCACTTGCAGAGACAACACTATGTTCTTCTGGGTTTGAGGGGTTTGGTGTTGAGATTGGAGGTGAGGTAAGGAAGAGAGACGGGACTTAGGTACTACATTTTGGGGCTTAGGGCTCAGAAGCAGTGTGGTCAGAGGTACCACCAGTGGAACATCATGGTTTATAAGCATTTTTACTTCAGTAATGTATTGTCCTGGGAAGAGATCTAATAATATGGTGGGTTGCTGTGGTTTTGCTGAGTTTCTGAGCAGGTGACTCAGGGACTGATGGGTCCAAAGAGTAGACTGGGCTACTATGGTCCTCTCCTCCCCTCTCATTTCAATCAGAGTGGGTTCTATCAACAAAAAATTTCCATTAGCAAATATTTCTGTTAGTAGTATTTACTGTGATAGATACCTGAGCTCCTTAGTGATTGCTCTAAAAGTAAATGTGAATCTATTTATAGCAGTGTTTCTACGAGACATGGTTTATGAATTCCAAATAATCCACTTAAAAATGAATTTAGTAGTTCGAGAACTACCTGTGAAATGAATGAATTAGAGTGCTTATTAAAATGTTTGTGCATGATCAAATTTAGAATGATTAAAAAATATAAGTAGAGGAGGCGGGGCCAAGATGGCAGAGTAGTCAGACGCTTTGGTGGACCCTTTTACAACAAAGACCCGAAAAAACAAGTGATTTGATTATATCTGGCAATCTGGAAGCCCTGAACATCAAAGGTGGAGTTGAGGAACCGGACTGAGTGGCAGGGAGAGGGAGAGACAGTTCGGAAGCAGTGAGGAGTTCCCAGACCTGACCCCGCAAGAGTCTCACCCTTCAGGCCTGATCAGCTCTGGGGTGAGCGGTAAAGGAGGCAAGCATCAGTGCTCCGGAGGCATGTTTTCCACACCAGGAGAGACCCAGCTGCTGAGAGTCTATTCGGCAGCGCAGAACCAGTGAGAAGCAGCCCTCATCAGTGAAAAATACGTACTTATGTATGGCTTACCATGTGGATTAAAAACACCCCCCTTAGAGAATAACCTCTCTCCCATTTACCTCCCTGCTCCCAGCTCTGCACTAGGTCCCAGACCGGCTTCAGCAATTGCCGAGTCCCCTGGGCCGGAGGTAGGAACGGTCACACGCCCGGAGCCATCCTCCCTGCCTTGGAGAGTGAACAAATTAACAAACAGGGGAAAAAATAAATCGCTGGCTCCCCTAAGCCAGGAACCCAGGGTAGGCACAGCTCCTTTGCCTAGGCACAAGTATAAGGGATCCACGGACTTTGAGTGCCTTTCCCCCTGCATAGACTTGTGTGGGCCCATCTCAACAGCGTAGGCCCTCATTAGTGCAGTACAACTGGGTATATACCTAAAGGCTAACTTCAACTATTTCAGCTGTGAAGTGGCAGGTTCTTGACATTTGACACTGCTGTGCCCACTGAGCAGGGTCTTCACCTACCCACATCAGGGGCCTGAGGACTGGTGGCTCCACCCATGCCACCTAGCCACCTGTGATAGGGGCCCATGAATAAGAGGTGCCCCCTAGTCCTTACAGTCAACAGCATTAGGTGCTCATAGTCCAGCTGCAAAACCCACCCAAGTGCTCTAGGGAACAGGGACACGCCTTCCTCCTGGACACTCGGGGGTGGCTGTCAGCTGCCTGCCTTGCTCAGACTGTGTCCCCCTGCTGCAGCCAGATGGCTGTGCCTACACCAATCCCCCACACCTGTCTAGGACTGCAAGTGAGAGCCTACACCACACACTTGATGGCTATCTACTTGGGCACCTAAGCTAAATCCATACAAAAGGAGTGGGCTGACTCCTGAGCTCACATACCTAGTAACAGATTTAACCAGCTGGCGACAGGACATTAGAGCTTCAAAGGTGCCAATAATCAAACTAGCTCATACAAGCAGCCTATTTGGGCATATCAAAACAAAACAAGAAGCTAGGACACAGTAAGTGAACATAAAATAAATAAACATAATAACTTATTGATGTCTCAGAGACAGTCAATATCAAATCACATAAAGAGGCAATCTATGATGGCTTCAGCAAGCTCGCAATAAAAGAATCTAGAAATTTTCCAGAGCAGGAAAATTTCTTGGAGTTACTGGACGCAGTATACAAAAGATTACTACACAGAACTCTTCAAGAAATTAGGAAGGAAATTAAGCAAAATGCAGGACACGCAATAGAGGAAATGAAAAAGATTAGAGAAGATCATAATGACAAATTTAACAGGCTACAAAAATCCATAGAGAGACAGCAATCAGAAATCCAGAAGATTAACAATAAAATTTCAGAATTAGACAACTCAATAGAAAGTCATAGGAGCA